GTATTTATAGCATTACAGTCGCACTAGAAATTTGATTGTGCAACATTTGGTATCAGATGCGGTATATGCATGTGTACACTGCACATACCTGTACATATATTCAGTTTTGTGTGTCGGCATATTTACGTATGTACTGAACTTATAGTTATCCGACAAACTCATATGATCATGAAAAACTTTCTTTCTGTTATTTTTTTCATGTGTTACGATTATAGGTGCAGACTTATGATGAAGTTATAGCGTCAATTGGACGTAACTCTATGACGTAATTACACGTCAAAAGTCATAACTGACATATGCCGTAACATTTGACCTGTGTCGTGATATTTGACTCTGCGTAATAACTGCCTTATGTAGTAACATCTGACTTATGCCGTGACATCCAACTTATGCCGCAACATTTGCCTTTGTTACACTTCATTTTACTTAAATGATCCAAGAAGCCCGTGAATTTATTACCTCCCAAACAAGCTTCTCTAAGTTAATTGCTTCCTCTAAAAAAGCTAAGTCTTGCCGGAAGTCGTTATTGATTAAATCTAAATACTTTAAATTACTGCAATCCTCAGGTAAAGTAAGGTTAGTAAGAAAATATAAACAGAAATTGGTAAATCACTAGCTCAAGAAGCACGACCTCTTTGTTGTAAATCCCTTATTCTGTTTGCTTCAGTTTGACCGGTATTATGATTAATTTTTAATTCAATAAGTTGTGGATCGTATTTTCCATAATACATCAGAAGCCTTTGTAGGAAATAATGAGAGATAATGCCTTTTCCAGCCATAATTGCCTGGGCGACTTCTTGGTTTATAAAATTTTGTCCTAATCTTACCACATGAAAAAAAGCCTGATTTTTGCCAAACCAAAAGATGATTCATTTAGCCCGGGCTTGGCTATCTTTGGCAATAAGCAATAATGGCTTACAAATTAATGACAAATTAAGCGGGGATCTGACATATTTAAAGACATTTAATTTCCGCAGGTAAATGGTTAAAAATATTCGTTTTTGTCATATGTTTGTTTTTAAGTTTTTTTCGGTTCGTTCTTAACTAGTAAAATTTAAAAACGATTGTTAAAAGGCTGTTGGACTATTTGAAAATTTAATTGGGTTGACTTATTTTCTTCCTTAACTAATTGAGTATAATAATTTATCCGTCTAGTTTGTAAAACAATTTGTTTTTTATTAGAAGGCAAATTATCATCTGATAAAGCTTGAATTTGGTTATCTCAATATCCTCCCTCGGCTAAATTATCAATGTTTTCTTCTCTTTCCATACCAGTTTTTATATAGTCTCATTGGCTAATTCCGGTTTGCTACTCTAATTGCTGAATTTTAGTTTCACGGTTGTAGGCTGCTTTTACTAACTGAGAGATTTTTCTAGTGCCATTTTCGGCATATCCCATGATAATAAGAGTTTCTTGATTGTCCAAGTAGGTATCATAATATTGAATGATGTATTTCTTTTTGGATAGTCGGACAATTGAGAAAAGAGTTAAAAAACCAGTTTATTTTAGAGGCTAAAAGAATTGTTAATGCCGACCACATTGACGACAAAGTTGCTTCTTTCGACACTAGAAAATGAAAAAAGTTAGTGAAAGAAATATCTAAGGCGGAAAATATTGATAATTGCTTGGTTGCTAAATATCTAGACAATTTTGCTGAAAAGTATAATGATGCTTTTGCTTGCGAATTACAATTTAAAGCTAGCAGGAGCAATGGTAGTAGAAGAATAGCTGTTAGATTATAAGTTATTTTCTTACGATAAATTAAACGAAGAATTAAAAGATTGAGAAGCAGTAGAATCCGAAAACTGGGATGATTAGTTTTAAGTAAGACTAGACCCTGCCGAAAGAGCCGAGACTAAAAAAACTCATCCAGTAGTAATAGTGATTGCCAAGTAATAAAATTAAGTATATTAGAGTTACTTATTCTTATAATGCTTGATTTACTATTACATCGTAGCATTTGACACAATTGACATTTTACATGCTATACAAAAATCTATACTAAAATTTGATACTATGAGAAAAACCATATTCTAAATCAATTCATAGCTCTATATTTGACTAATACACAAAGGTTTAAAATAAAATGACTAGCAAAAAGAAATGTATATTTTATAAAGAATGTGCTATATATTTAATTAGCGAATAAATCTTCAGCATATATGCTGTAAAAAAAATTATGAAATAAAATAAGTCACTTTAATTAATAAAATAATTGACAAAAATAGAAGCTTTTGTTTAAAACTAACCACTTGGCTCTAATGAGGTAAAAACCCCGAATTAGATACATTTATAAAACCAGTTAAGCCTATTTTACCAAAGAGCATTCTATAAAAAACATATAGTAAGATAATATATCAAAGTTAAATTTTAAAAAATTGTTATTTAAAACTGCTAAAATTTACCTAAACAAAATTGCATAATCATATCACAAAAAAAAAGACTCGCTGACTTAAAGCATTTCTAATGATTTTGTATAAAGAATCCCTACTAATGGTTAAATAATTTTATTAGAAGTGATTAAAGTTCTAATATATTAAAGTATTAAAAAAATCTCATACCTAATAATCCAATTCATTACCCAAAATAGCATCAACGAGATTTTCAGGGTTAAAATTCATATTACCAGTAATGCTGTTTTCATTAATATTGTTTGAATTCTCATTTGAAATTTCATTTAGTATAGAATCATTTTCTTGAAAAATTGGATCATTTAGATTTACAAAATCTTCCAAAATTATATTTAAAATACTTTGATTATCAAATATATTAATACTTTTATTTGCCTTCTCATCTTCGATAAAACTATTTATCGATGTTAGATTTATCATATCACGAAGTTCAGACTCAGATAACTCAACCTCAAAATAAGCAAGTTCTTTTCGTACATTTGTTATATAATATGACATTATTTTTGCCATTTCTTCAAGCCTTTTGACATCAAGGCATAGACACAAACCATTTAAGAACTGAAAAATTTTGTTCACAACCAGCTTGGGATGGTGAGATACTAAAGAGCATTTGTGCAAGTTTTGAGAGATAACGTGGTTGGTGTTTTAAAGATCCCCACCATAATATTGGTGTATTGAGATCTTGAACATAAGGTAAATCATATAGTTTTAATTTTGCATCATAATAATGAAATTGTAAAATTAATGCATTGCACTCTTGTTCAGAATGGTTCAAAATTTTTCACAACGTAGAAGCAGTTATGGCAGCATCCTGAAATGCTTCATTTTTAAGACCTTTTCCTAAAAAAAAAAAGATAAAAATTAATATATTATATATATAAATATCGCTAAAAGAAAACCTGACAATTTAAATATTAATATATTTAAATTGTTAGGTTTTCTTTAGACAACTCTAAATGATAATTAACACTAAAATTAAAATATATACAATACCACAATATAAAGGATGAAGGTAATAACATAGTACAGTAGTAAGTAATACGGATTTTGAAATTCCTCATAATGTTTGTTAAACACTTGAATTGTAGCGGGTTTAAACAATATTGATCTAGGAACTTGATAAATTGCAATTGCTAATTTAATCATATAAATAAAGCAATCTGCTAATGATGCTAAACGACTTTCTAAAACATTTATGCAGATTTTTATTAGTTTCCGAATAGAACAAATTTGTCGACATGTGATAAAAAAATCTTCATTGTGCAACAAATTAAAAATTTCAGTATCTGTAATTATACTTGAATGCTTAAGTAAAATCTATATAAATAAATATATATTTGTAATTAATATATATAATTAGTATTGATAAACAATTTAATTACAAAAGAAAAC